AATCGACGATGCCCGCGGTTTGAACATCACTGCTTTGGATTATTCACTATAATTACTACATAACATGTGTATATATAGTTATCTCCTTCCCGGCGTTATGAAACACAGCATTTGGCAATTGCTCCTACATGATGACGAGATGTGTAGCACATTATTGCTCTGACCTAGTGTGCTCAAATATGTTTGTATTGGTCATCATTGATGTGCGTTCGATTCGAGAAAATTTTTTTTTGCAATAATAATATGTCGCGGATAATAATCATGAAATTAATAATACTTAATGATTCGATAATTCTGTTGATGGACAAGTATTTGAATCTGAGCATTTTCTTTCTTATCTTATTCTTCATAATTGGATAAAAACATAAATAGAAATCTCCAAAAATAATTATGAATTAAAAATATAGAAATATAATTAGGATATTAATTATTAGGAGACTAATGCACAGATAAATATAAAAGAATAAAATATATCAAATATATTAAAATAAATTTAGAATTGCGAATAATATTTATACCTAACTGAATAATATACGCAAACTTCCTTTCATATGATAATATTTTTGTCGATAAAACAAGGCTAAAATTATTACTAATAAAATTTCATTTGGTTTTTAAATAAATTATTATGCATTTTTCAATTATAATATTTTTGTAAATAAAATAATTAATATTCTGATTTCTATGTAAAAATGTTGGCTTATCTTTTCTTCAATAACCGCATAAATTTATTATTGGTTCTATTAAATTTATTATAATTGCTTTAAATATTATTGTGCCCAATTTAATTCTTGTTCACAATAAACATTGATGATAAAGGAGATCGCAAAAACTTGATACAAGATATCGTTATAAAAAGGCATAAGATAAAGAAAATGCTCATTGTATAACTCTTGTCAGTTTACATCCAAGTTATCGGGACACTGGGTGGATATAGATGACGGTGTGCAACGATGGAGTCATCCATTATAAAGATATATGTAGAAAAAAGAGAGATAGAAAATGATTTATGTTTTGAAAAAGTCTTCTCATGTTTAAAAAACTAAGATAGTGAGATGGAAATAAATATGCGATCAAGAGAAGACATAACATTATATATATGTATATCTTTGATATTACTCTCTAATCTTTTTTAATTGAAAAAGACTACTACAACCGTTCCAGTTAGAAAATAAGCATAATGGAAAAAGTATTGTTAGATTATAGAGAAAAAGAGGAACGTTACAAATCCTTTTCAAATTTAGCCTCTAGTTTCTTTATTCTTCTTTTATTTCTTTTTCTTGTTGAAGATATTTTGTTATTGTATGAAGTGATGACAAAAATTTCAGAAATTTTCTGAATTATATTTTTTCAATAAATATTTATTTTGATATTATTTCCTGTTAATATTGTTGCATTGTGTGCAACAATATTTCATTAAATTTGCGAAATAAATTAAATTCTGAATATATTCGCAACACACGAATACGTACGACACGAGATATTTATTTCTCACCGCAATATCTTTTATGTCAACATTATGTAATTTGCTGCAAAATAGAATGTGTGGATGTATATATTTACGTTTAAACATTTATTCCGAAATATGGGTTGGTTTTTGCGAATACTTCCGTAGAGACGTAGAGAGTATATTTATGACACACTTAGTTAATTTTGAATATGACAGTGAATCATTTATCTTCTCTTAAAATATATTGCGGTAAATTAATGTTCATCGCAACATGATATAAGGCAAAGTGTTTAATTCCTATCTCTTATATACAATTAAAAAATTCATTTTCCTATATATAAATTTTAGAATATAAATTGGAAGAAATTTGTGTTTACAAGTTATAGCTATATAGAATGTTCTTTAAAAAAAGTGCTTTTATTATCGTGTATAAATTTATTAAAGCTAAAGGCAATATAATACATATATTACACAAGTTTCTTGTTTCAGAAAATAAAAATGGCTAGAATATAAATCTGATATTCTAACAATAATTTATTCTAAAAATATATACCAAAACTTGTATATATGAAACATAGAGCATCTTTCAGAAAAAAAGTATTATTTTTCAATATGAGACATAAAATATTAATAGCATATAGTAGATTTATTAATACACTAAACTCGCAGTGTTTTCTCATTATACATATTATAATTATGATATCCGTGTTATAATCTATACACATGTTACGTCGAAAATAATTTTTATTGATATAAAAAACATGTACGAGTTTGTTTCATTGTTACTCTTAATCTTTACGTAGTTGATACGCACACAGTCAGTCACATATAAAGATCCATATATCTTATCTAATATGATGTACAAAAAATCAAAGTAAACACAAAATAAATGCTGTTATAGAACTGTTATGTTTACATATAGACGCGGAATATCCTTGAATCCATTCACGTGCACAGCACATTCCTCTAAAGTAAAATTGAAAAAAATGACAAACCTCTACCTCTCAGAACGTGTGAGAATAACAAATTTATAAAATGTATATAGACTTTCGTGACAGACACCGTATACGTAAATTTCGATGTATTCATTTTTAAATATTTGTTGGTATTATGTCTCTGTTAATTATTCATTGCCATATTGCATAAGGCTATGAATAAATTAGACACGCATATAGTATGAAAAACTATAAAAAAAATGTGTGCTTATCGAGATAAAGTATACAAAAGATATTTTAAATTTCCCGTTTTTTTTTTTTTAAGTAGAAGATTAATAGAACGGAAAATCGAAGTCGCTGTCGTACTTCGATCAAGGATAAGCCGCAAGTAATAAACACCGTTCAAGCTCTCGCGAGGAAAGAAACGTGCTAGGAGAGAGCCAAGCAACGAGGGAAGGTCGCAGCGATGTAAAGCGCGATTTTACGCGCGGTATGTCTAACGTAAGCGGGTAAATAGGTACGTACGGTAACGTTACGGAGGAGAAAAGTGTCAGGTAGGGTGGTCGCGGATCGATGCGGCGCGAGTCGGACTCGAAGGCGAGAATTTACAAGCGGAAGAGCACTCGCGTGAACTCGGATTATCGGTAACAATAAACGTATGAAATTCGATGAGAAGAGCTCGGGCTTCTCGCGCAAGATTGTAAGATAGAGATACGTTACGATTAATTATATAAAGCGTCATTTCACATTCAAGACTTTTCTCTCGTGAAATAAAAAATATAACTTTCGATCATGATAAAAATCTGACAATGAGTGTCTCTCGCGTCGAGTTTCCTGAAAAGCTCTGGCTTTTCGCGCAGGAGATGGAAGACATATATTGTTATGATTACTATCTTGGACGCGCTGGAGAACAGCATTTTCGCAAATTGGACAAATTTGACTTCCGAGAACGATAAATGACTCGAATATCTCGTCGGAGTTTTCCGTAAACCTCTGGCTTTTCGCGCAAG